ATTTGATTTTTCTTAAATTACCCTAAGAAGTGACTTTAATCTCTCAAATTAGAGGTTCAGTTGTAGTACTTTGGGATCGAATCCACATAGAGCTAGGATGTCAAAATACCTAATTATACTTAATAAAGCTAGGCTGAATATTATTAATAATAAAGATATGTTTGAATAAGATAGTTGTTCTGTTGGTTTATTGAGTTTTGTAACAATATGGGAAAGTATCTAGACTGAAGGGTCTATTCAGATAATCAGGATTATAGAGATATAAATGCTATTAGTTGGTTGCAGGATATTATAGAGCTCAACTTATATGAACTAATCGATCAGCTATCACATGTTTTGATTCGTCTATTGTCTAGATCTAGTGATCTCAAGTCTCGCTTGTTGATCAATAGAAAGTGTCAATAGATGATTCTAGAGGAATAGCGATCGATACACCTTTCGCTCCGTCGATCAATTATTCTATAGAAATATCGATCGACGTGCTTCTAGCAAGCTTTGTGCGCGGGTTGATTACGTGTGCACTAGAGTTCCTAAATCATCTATCGCCTTTTTCTAGAAATCCTAGTTCGGTCAGTATCTATTCAGAATAAAGACCAAGCTCTCGCTTGTGCCTAACAATCTTATTATCAAGGTTCTAGTTAGCTACTCTAGAATTCAGCATTACTGACAAATATCACAATTTAACAATTCTATATTTAGGACTAATCCCTCATAACCTATATGAACCCTAAATCTAACAGTAGAATTACTCAAACATGGCTAACCAATTCATAATAACAAATAGATAAAAAAAACTGCATAGATAGATAGATAATAATGGAGTTCTAATAACAAGATTTGAAGAAGTCTTGAATCTTCTCTCCAATCTTACTAAAAATCTTTGTGGTGAAAACTAATAGAAATTAAGAAAGCACACTTTGCCGTCAACAATAGGCAAACGAATAAATACTAGGTAAAAACTCATCAAGGACAATCTCGTAATTTGGTGGTGTCTTAGACTTAAAGTTGGCTGAAACCAAGTCGAGTATCTTCGCGCGCTGACTGTCGATCGATGGCACAGGGTGTGCATCAATCGATAAGTGACTCTATATGTCGACCTCTGGTCTGCTCGATAGTCAGCTCGGGTGGCTTCTCTTTTTGTCTTCAAAATGCTCCAGAAACATCACTTTCTTCCAAATCACTCCTGAACCTATAGATATGGTAAATAGATTCTAAAACGTAATAGTTAGATATTAAAATAATTTATATAAAAGTGGGTAAAATCCATGGCGTATCACTAAGAAGGGATGGATCTTCTTCGTCGTGAAAACCATTATCATATCAGGAAACTCATACCCAAGAAACCAAATGTTCAAAGCCGATGACTTCAGGTAACACAGGTCATGAGAAGAAGGAGGGATAGCCACATAAAGAGCATTCGTAGATCCCCAAAGGTCTGCAGTGTACATACAAGGCTCTTGTACGTGAGATGAAGTTCTTGACATTAATTTCGTAGGTATTCCCAGCTCTAGGAGGCACTCCAGCAAGAGCTCGTGTTTACCATTTTCGAGAGTCTCCCATCTAATGAAGACAAGCAGAAACTTATATGAGAAATATATACTCAGAAACAAGAAAAGTGTCATGAAAACTTGGGAGTGATTCATAAACCTAAAGCTTTCAGAAATCAGTAATAAAACAAAGAGCCTTTGTTTTAATCATTAATTGATCTCAATCTATCATATACATGAACAAGAAAGTCATAAACTAGATAGATACACACAGACCAAAAGATTTCGCAATTCAGACTCTTTACATGAACAAAAAATAAGCTTTGTAATCTATTTCAAGCAACATAATCCCTTAGGTTTATAGCTTTTTTACATACATCTCCAGTAAATACTACTTAATGCATAATTTAATTAAATCTACGGACTTTAACAGATTTGAACTGGGTTTAACCTTAAATTTAGAAAGTTTGCAACTAATTTCACAAACCCATAAAAGAGAATTATGGTAGAAAATAAACCCACCTGGAATCGAATCAGAGATATCCCAAATCAAAGTAGAGACGCGAAGAGGAGCACGTCGAAATCCTAGAAATTGAGAGAAGAAAAAGATGATTAATATACTTGGAAAATGCAGAGAAATCATAACGGATCGAGTATGAAACATGATTTTAGACGATGGTTTGAATCGAAGAAAATGAAAATAGATTAAAACAAGTTGTTTAAGGCTTGTTTGGGGGCCTGTTTAAGGAAATCACATCCAATAAACTTGTTTGATGATTCATTTCCTATTATGGTTTTTTTCTTTAAGATATGCTATATTTGAAAAAACCTAAAATTTAACAAAAATATCAATAACACTATTGCATTAAATGACCATAAATCAGTAAACTTCAGATTTATCACTATTTATACTTATTCCATCTTTTTCTTATGCATGCCTTTCATTCATAAGATATTATACAGCCAATCATTTTTTCTATATAATATTACCAGATATAATATTTATTTTAAGAAAGGAGAGATATTTTGTACTTTATAAAATCAGAATAAGATGAAAAGAATACTTTTATAAAATGAAAGAACTAAGAGTATTAAAAAGCATAAAAAGCATACTTAGAATAAAAGCATACTCTGCCAAAACACATACGCATAACTATAAATATGAGTTCAATTAGGTTAAAAACTCGTCAGGGGCAATCTTGTAATATTGAGAGAAGTTGGGCTTCAAGTCGGCTGAGTCAAACTTATTCTTCACGCTCGATATCGGTCGATGGTACAAGGCGTACATTGATCGATGGAGTATCTCCATTCGTCATCTTCTACGGAAGCGTCGTCGATCGATTACACAGGATGTGTATCGATCGATATGTATCTTTGGATATTGACCTTGTTGTTTGATCTTCATAGTTATCTCGAGAAAACTCTCCTTTAA